TCGTGGGCATGTGGTCCTGGAACCCTGCATAGAGCGAATGCGTACTGCGTGGAATGTCGAAGGATTAGATCGGATTTCTCGTTGCGGTAGTGTATGGTCACGTCGCTGGAACACCTGTTTTTTTTTTTTGTTGCTTTTGTAACTCTCATTCGATGGCTGATGGAAGCAGCTGAATGCAGTACGGAAAGTGATTTTTTATTATTCACTCGGTGAATAATAATAAAAACTTTTTTTGTGGTTGAAGATTTATCGGCACGGTGCAACTATAAGGGGATTTTCGTTCCCAGGGAAAATGTGTTTGTGACCCTGTAGATGAGGAAAGGGGTCGAGGATCATCGGATGCGATTCGAATCAATAGAGATGCGTGCTGTGATGCCAGAGTTCCAAGAACTCTTCGTCGTGCGGCAGCGAAAATTATTTTCCTCTCCAGATCGGCCGTAGCAGAAGTTCGGGTTTCTTAGAAGTATGTGTGCGACTGGACAAAAAGTTCTTTCGGGGAAATCCAAAATTGGCGGGGCGAAGTGCATCTCTGTGGCCAATTCTTGAAAAGCCCCCAGAAACGGGGCATAATTTTATAATTTTATAATTTGTATGAACCACAGCTTATCTGCGTGATGCCGATGATTTATGTCTTTAATAAAAGGTCTCAAGAGCAAGTCTTCGGCGCGTAAGAATCGCCTACGAAGGTATATTAAAGAAAAGCATGCGGCGCAATATTTATTCAGACATCGCTTTTTCTTCGTGTCACGATGATGAGGTGAATTTGCAGTGACAGATGATTACAAATTCATGGACATGGGGGAGTACTTTATGAAAGGAACCAAGCTGTCGTCGTCCCTCATTGCTTTCAGATCGGAAAGCGCTTTTTCTCCCCTCAATCAGAAGGGAATAACAGCGTAATTGCTGGTGCCTAATTTTCTCCGGGAATTATAAAAAATTGAGGGAGCCACTTCCGGGACTTTTTATGAATAATAAACAGCCTCAATATCCGTTGGAATTCTGCACTCGGCTGGGGAATGTAAAATGAAAGATGTGGAAAGTCTGTTTGAAAAAAAATTAAATATATTCGGGTTATGGAATGATTTCGTGTTTACAGCGTGTCGAAGATGTTGAACACGTCAGTGTCTCGATGAAATGCCGTGTTGCACGGTGGATATGCCGGTTAACGTAGTTTCCGATTTTCGTGGCCTGGTATGCCTGCCCTACAGGTCACGTTTCGATCGCGTCACGTCGAGAATTTCCTCGTGATTCAGTGCGTACGGGGGAAAATGCGGAAAATGCGGGGACCAAGACAATGCATTAATAATGTTAAAAAATGACGGCGACAGAACATTGACACTGTAATAAATAAATAAAATCGGTTGTTTATGTCTTCCCAGGCAATTCAAACTCAAAATATTGGTTGTTTGCTTTGGAGGGTGTGACCCAACGCGGTTATTGCTCTGTTTTGCGAGGTTTTTATAGCTTGGTGGTTTCCTGGATTTATTTTACCGCCGGAGGGTTCTAGTTATTTTTTAATAATAATAATAAATATTATTATGGAGTGCTCCAGCTTCCCGTACAGATTAGTGTGACTTGGTGGACGTACGTGTCTTTTCATGTTTTAATATTTATCATTTCTGTTTTTATGTTCTCTCAATACTTATAAATATGTAAATATGACTAAAGTCATTCACCACATTTTAATGGCCTTCGCCCTTTTGAAAATTTTCTCATCTGTTTTTTTTTTTTTTTCTTGCGTCATCTGACGATATCTACTAAGTAGTTGCGATTCTAGGGCTTCACCGGACTTTGAAATAAAAGGACTTCCCAGTACTTTCAGTACTTTAATATTCAATAGCTCACTTGCTCGGATTCGTTCGTTACTACCTAAAACGCTGCAGTAATGCCAGCGGTAGTTCAGGACTGGACCAACCAAGCAGGACCGACAAAGCGATCACCTTCGAGATGTGGCAGATCAATCGATGCTGGTCGAGATGTGGCAGATCAATCGATGCTGGGCGAAACGGGTTCTTCGTAATGTTGACCTTTTGAGACGTTGTTGCTCCGTGCAGTCACCTGTGACTTTGGTGCACACTTGTTCTATGCGTTCTGGCGGAACAAGATCGGGGAGGGACTTGGAGATCTCTGGACGTGACGGACCGTAACGGCTGGAATTGCATTGCGTGGACTGGGAGAGATTGGCGAAAGGAGAAAATTGGCGATTTCGACTGTCGTGCCCTTGGCGAGAAATTGAGTTACGGGGGAAGAAAGTTCGATTAGAAAGTATCCATGGAGAGCATAATCGGGAAGTTATCGTTCTTTGAGACGTTTCTCTCTTGACTGCCCTTCCAAAAGTCGTGGGGAATGGGTTTTCGTAGTGGAAATTTCTCGGAGCACGGACCTGAACGGTGTTTATACGATGGGATCGCGTGTTGTGTGGGGACTGGTGTGATCAACCGGGGACTGGTGTGATCGACCGCCGGTGTGGTCGACTGTGTCGTTCGTCGCCCGGAATTCGGTATGTCCGGTTGCCCGGCCTGGCGAGATTCCGGGCTTTTCCTATGGTAATTGCATGGTTGGGGGGCCGGAGTACCTTTCATAGCCGCTAATGGGGGGCTTCATTTTTCCACGCTGAGGAATTGGGACAGGCGAGGCGAATTTTCGTGAAACGCCTGCTCGCATGAGCACCTGTGCTCAAAGAATTGGGGGGTTTCACTGTTTAGTGCCCCAGTACTTAGTACTTATTCGTGAGAAATGATGTGAGAGTATTATTAAATAATCCGAAGGAATTTCGAATCAGGGATATCCCGTACCAAATACCACTTATCATTAAATACCACTTATATACCACATATGCCCTTGCCATGCAGCAGTTAGTAGCAGTGATCTTGCAGCGGCTCTATTTACTTGTTGGTTGATTTTACCGCTGGTAGTGCGGCTCCATGAATCCCCCCCAATCTCCCATCGGAGCGTCTCAATCTTCCTTGCGGATCGATACGGATGAATGCTTTGAAGGAAACAAGGGAACCGTCGTCGAAATTGCGCCTCTCCGCGTTTCCCCTGCCAAACCCAGACGAAAAATGGGGAAGAGAAAGGGGGCGAAGTGAAGCTACGGTACGTCTTCCTCCGTTATGGAAGAGGCTATAGATAACGAAAAAGGCATGGGATTCCGAGCGACCGTCCCCGTCCTGCTGCCGATGGCACGGTCACTTATCACCGGGGACAAGGACTTGGCCCGTCGTCAAGTCACATAATCCGTATTGGCATACGGAACGAAACACGGTCGCGAATGTGCGACTCTCGAGGGAGGTACTGGATCCCAGATGGCTCCGCGATAGGGAGGTCGCACTGGGACGAATCGTTATGTGTTATGTGTATTATCGTTATGTTATATGTTATCGTCTGGATGCGCTTCGTGGGTGTGTTTCCTTAACTAAAATCGGTCGAGGAATGAGACGTGCTGCGGTCGGGAGCGACTGGTCGATTCACGGTGAAAGTCGGTTCATGCTTTGTTGTTGTCACGAGGGGAGGGGAGAGGGGAAAAAAGGAGCATCCTCCTGCCCTTGCCAAGGGCGGAGTCGGTCCGTCGTTCGAGACGCATCGCTTCCTCGTCCTCGTGGATTTCGTGGTCGCAGCGGGGACTTCGCGATCGCAGCGGGGACTTCGCGATCGAGCTGCCTCTCAGAGGTCCTTTGTTTGAGGACTCCTTTCAGCTGTCGCGGTGGCCTGAATAGACCGAACCAGTTTGTATGGGAATGAGAGGGGGGAGGTGGTGTTTCACCTTAGGATCCACTTCACGGGTTCGTATATCTCCTGAATGCACGGTTAATATGAAGTTTTAATTGGAGTTTATATTATGCAGTCGAGTGACGTTAATGAGTGGATGGTATAATTATGAATATCACAGACGTTATTGCTTTTATTGGGCGTTCTATTGCCGAGGAGTGCGTCTATAAATTACTATTGACGTTTTTGAATCTGATATATTTTTTACGTGTTGGATCTGAACGATCCAGGATGGGGATTAATGTAACTTTTATGGAATATGAGGATTCCGAGCTCCCATGAAAAGGATTCCGAGCTCCCATGAAAAGGATTCCTACCGATTCCCCTTCTGTCTGACTCATTTTCGGGGCTTCCGCCCGGGCTTCTCATTCGGCTTATCATTATTCTATGCTCTGGCGGGTTTGTGGCCGGCTATAGATGGATGGTCATGTCCCGTTTATAATCATGAGTGTCGGGGCTCATGAAGAATAAGGGGGGGCCCCGAAACTCCCGAGGGTGAGACCAAACCGCTCTTTCATTTGCTGCATCGCAATTAGTCTCCCCGTGGACAATACGAAATAGAGTCGACTCATTGTTTGCGTAGGATATGGAAACGTTTGTGGAAACAGCTTTGTAGCGAGAAAAAGAGGGAGAAACGTAGTACTGCGAATGTCAAGGAGACTGTTAAAAACTGAAACTGAAACTGAAACTGAAACTGAAACTGAAACTGAAAAGAAAAAGCTGGTGTCATATGAACTCAACGATTTCCATTTCCATATTTAATGTGTCGGTTGGGTGATTGGCCCGCCGCAAGTGCGATGCACCAACTGCTTTTAAAGTTTCGGTCTGTTTTGATTAAATTCTTAATGAACTCACGATATTGGAGAATTTGCATATTACATATTTGTTTTAGATATATTTCCGTCAGGCTCGCCATATTGGGACGCGGTCGCCACGATGACGTTTGCGTCTTTTAGGTGAGATGAAGGTGCTAGCGGCAGGAAGGGAAAAGACGAAATCCTATTCCATGAGACGGAAGGGGAAGCCGAAGGTGAGCGTGGTGGAGACGGCGATGAGACGAGTGCGGAAACGGAACGAAGGAGCGGATTCCGTCGATTCCGTCATCGACTGCGTCGTCAGGGGACTGGATATCGCGTCCAAGCCCAAAGGACCCGGGAGGAAGCGGAAGGTGGGGACGACTGTGGGGACGACGATGGGGACGACTGTGGGGGCGACGATGGGGACGACTGTGGGGGCGACTGTGGGGACGCCGGGCCGAGGGGGACGCGCGGGCGCAGGGCCGACCCCCGCGGGAAAAGGAGGGGAAGAGCCGCCCTTGGAGAGCGCATGTGGCCCGCTTTCTTCTCCTCCTTCATCCCCAAGAGCGTTCACCCCAGCCCCAGTCGGACTCGGAGCGGGGAAGAGGAAAGCCAAGGCCGATCCTCCTCCTCCCGCGAAAGGCATGAAAGGTGCCAGGAGCCGATCCGCGGCGAAATCTTCCTCCTCTTCGAAGAAGAAGCAGCGGCAGCAGGGCACCGACGAGGACGAGTCGGAGCCCGAGAAGAAGCCGGCGGGGAAATCGGTGAAGATCGAGGAGAGTGTGCGACGGAAGCGTCGATATGTGCGACAGCGGAAGCGGCGGAATTCCGGTGCGACTGCGTCGAAAGGTAGGCCAAGTAAGAGGTTGCGATCCCGCGTGGCGAGCCTCAATGCCAGGGCCATGGTGCATTGTCTGTATTACGAGAACGAGTGGCTTCGGAGCCCCGCGGGATTGGGCTCCACTTCCGGGTCTTCGTCGGACATGGGCTCCCCGCGGTCGGACTCGGCGGAAAGTTTCGCGTCGGGAAGTGCGGGGAAGAAGCGGAAGCCGAGCGGGGCCGAGAGGGCGAAGGACCCGGACGTGAAAAAATCGGACGCTGCGAAGAGGTCCAAGGACCGAGAGCCGAAGAAGAAGACGTCGTCGGGCGGGAAAAAAGCGAAGAAAAAGGGGAAGAGCGAAGGACCCCCGAAAGTGAAGGACGAAGGCGAAAGGGCGCCGAAGAAAGGTCGGAAAAAAGAAGCGACGGCGCCGGTGCCCGTGCCGAAGAGATTGGCGAGCCTGAACGCCTCGGCCATCATGGCGGCGAGTTACTCGACGGAGCCGCCGAAGAAGAAGTGGGCCGCCGAGGCCGCTCGCCGTCACAAGGAAGAAGCGAAGGAGAACGAAGAGAAGAAGAAGCCGGTGAAGAAGCGGAAGATCCCCTCCCCCGACCACCAAGTCGGCCCCGGCGAGCCGAAGAAGCCGAAATTGGAGGACGACGAGGAGGAGAAGGAGGAGAAGGAGGGGGAGGACGACGGGCTGGAGGTGATCGACACGAGCGTCGGCGGGAACCACGTCTCCCTCCGGTCGCCCCGGAGCGTCGCCACCATCAAGGCCGACTTCGGGCCCGTCGGCGTGATCGTCGCCGACCACGACGTCACCATCACCGGCGTGTACATCAACGCCGCGACCACGACCGCCGCGAGCGGAAGCGTCCACGAGCCTCCACCGGATCACCATCACCGGAGTCCCCTGTGCCTCCAGGCTTACCACATCTCCAGTCGGACCCGGAGCGCCCAGATGCCGGATGTCCCCGGATCCGGTCACCTCACGACGGTCCGGGCCCAGAGTCAGACCGTCGTGGAGCAGACTTCTCGTCACCAGGCCGCTCCCATCCATCATCCTCAGGTAAACGATTTCGTCCCTTTCGTCCCTTTCGCATCCGACAGACCGGCGATCGCCCGCGGCGCATTCGCGTCCATCCACGCGGCACAGAACCGGCCCCGACGACACTCCGGGGAAAAATGTCTCTCGAGAACGACCGAAGAACTTGTCGGATCTGAATTTAGGGTAGGTCGGGAGGTGTCGGTCGAGGTCGTCGGGAGGTGTCGTCGAGTTCGTCGGAACGGGGAAGCGCCCTCGATGAGCTAATTACACGGGCCAGAGACGGTGCCCAATTTAATGATCCAATGGAGTAAAGGACATAAAGGACATAAACTACGAGGGAAAGAGAGAGAGAGAGAGAGAGAGAGAGAGAATTCCCTCATGATCTTAACAGGCCTTGCCTCGGTGGAACGGTTGAAATCTCGTCACTTTGCTTTATTGCTCGTCGACTCCGCTGCTTCGTCACGGTCTCGGGGCCGCGCGATCGGGGATGAGTACCTGCTCTGTGATTTTTCTCGTTATCGGATTCCCGATCGCTAGAGTGCTCTCGTCTCGGAGGAATGCATATATACTTAGCGGTGAAAGTGACGGGGAGGTACCGCGAGCGATTTCGGCGGTCGTAGCGGCGTTCGCGGCGGGTTTTTGCGAGCGTCGGGGGTTTTTGAGGATTTTTTTAAATCCCGGACCGCTCGAGGGGAGGAAATGCACGAGAGATCGATAATGACGCGTGGAGCATGCACGTAATGATGATGATGATGGATTTGCGCATTCCCGGCCTTCATCGGGGAGTCGCTTCTGTGCGCGGTTGCCCGCGCGGTTGCCCTCGCAGTGGCACCTTCGACCGGGCCAAAAGCAACTATCGTGCCGGTTTGTTTTCCCCCGCGTTCCGCATTTATCATCGAGGGCAACCGAGAGGGCAACCGAGAGGGCAACCGAGCGCTCACGCTGTTTCCCCGCGTTTCTCCTTTCCCCGAGTTGTTTTCGCTTTTCCCGCCGTTGCAGGTGGTCGGAAAAGAAAACAATTCCCAGGAAAACAAGCGGGTCTTGCGGTAAGTGAGGAAATTGACGCCGCGACGATGCCCCATTCGATCGAATTAGATTGACCTCGTTCCCCCCCGCCCCCCCGCCCGCCCCATGTCGGGGATTCGGGAAATCAGAGGGCTTGATGGGGAAGCTGTGATGAGGCGAGGGAAACGTGTCCTGGGTCCGAACACGCTGCAGCGAGAGATATGAAGAGCTTGAGAGGGGGAGGCAACATGGCTTTTTTTTTTTCCTGCATCTCGTTCTGTCCCCCCCCCCCCC